TCATCACTAAGTAGTGAACTAAGAGCTCTTTTTACAAAATTATAAGTTATTTGAGCCTCCTAACTTAGACAGCTCAAGGACCTGCAAAAATATTGTTTGAGTTAGAAAATATTTTACTTAAGACCACTTTCTGAAATCTAAGCACATATGTTACTTATAAAGCCTGATGTTTTAGAAAATTTTCATATTTTAAGACCTAAATTTAGCTTTTCTGTTAATTTTCGTTTTAATATTTTTCTTTTATTACACAATTATCATTAAAATACCAAATAAAGAAATTTTTATTAATATTAGATTTCCTGGGTTTTATTTAATCAAATGCACTACTTATTCATGCATATAGGTGTTATGTGCATGAATACTGAAAATGAAAAAGTATCTCTTAAAATTAAAAAGCTGTTTTTCACATACAAATTTTTTTTATAGATTTTGATCCTGAGCCAAAATAAATTAAAGGTATGAAAGGTTTTTTTACTACTTACTCCATTATTATATTCATCGTCATTGGTCAAAATGATTTCTAGTGCTGCAAGCTGTTCTTCAGTTGGTATGGGAAATTGTATTTCTGGAAATTTTGTATAAAATGAGAAATCAACATGTTTTTCCAGTTTGGTTACTTTACAAAAATCTTTTAAATTTTTAATTTCGGCCAAAGCGTCTGTAACTAATGCCCTTAGCATATGATTTTGCTGGATAATAGTTTTAAGGTGTTTTTCTAAAAAATAAAATATTACATACTTCTGAAAATAACTGTCTAAATAGTAAGTTACCAGTTTGTTCACAACTGTGGCAACCAACCTGTGCTGTGTTAATGTTTATAATGTCCAGATTTTGGCCATTATCAGCAATATTTTCATCAATAAAATAACTGCTGTTATTTGCTGTGCCTAAAATATTTTAAATATATTTTTTTTTAAGTATTTGATATAAGAAAAGGATATTTACCATTCAGATTTGTATCAAAATGAATATTTTCAGAGATCATTTTATTTTCTGGGGTATTTTCTAAAGCTGAAAAAAAAACAAGAATTATATATATACAGTGTGTCTGAAAAAGTTGGCAACAAATGGGAAACTTTTTTATTATTAAGTTTAGGAAAAAACGTCATTCTTCATAAAAAGTTCTGCAAGGCCTAAAACCCAATATACGATAATCAGATATCGAAATTTTCCAATCGTATACGAGGTTTGTCAAAAAGTATGAATTTTGCTCAAGAGTAAAGTACCTTTATTTTCGACAATATCTAAAATTGTTATAAAGAAAAGTTGATTAGAATTGAAAACTACGTTTAAATGTCTAATTACAGCTATCTACGATAAAAACCAGGTTTTATTATTGTTTACAATTTCTTTAAGATCGAAAATGATCAAAAACTAGGTATCTAAATTATTGACCTGTACAAAATCAAGTTGCTGTGGAAATGTTTTGAAACATATCTTATGTCAGTATGCTTCAAAACCTCAGATATCGATAGAAATTAAAAATTATGTTCATGTGCACTTACTGATTACACCACTCATTTTCTCATTGCAAATTTTGCTATAAATATTGACTTTGTTTTGCACGAGTTATCAATAATACAATGTAAACAAATGCATACATAATTAAAATCATTTATTTTCAAAACACAACATCAAACATTACATGCATGAAAAAGAAGAATCCGGATTAACTTTTCCCTCACTGCACGTACGCCTCAACATATCCACCGTCCCTTTCTAAGCAGGTAATTGTTCTTCGAGAGAATTCTTTTATTGCATTTCTAATAACATCTGGAGTAACACCGTCACATGTTTCCCTAATTATTCTTTCCAAATGATCAATATTTTCAAACGGTCTTTCAAGGTATACCTTTTGCTTCAAGTATCCCCATAAAAAGAAGTCTAGGGGGGTCAGGTCCGGAGATCTTGGAGGCCATGCAAAGTCCACAAATCTTCCAATTACTCTTCCGTTAAAAATTTGTAGAAGACATTCTCGAACATTTCTTGTACTATGGCAGGTTGCTCCATCATGTTGGTACCATGTACGTTGCCTTTCCATTATTGGTAGGTTATGAAGAAATTCAAGAATCTCATTATTTAAAAATTCCAGATAACGTTCAGCATTCATATTAGTTCGAAAAAAAAAATGGTCCAATTATTCTATCTTTAAAAATTCCACACCATACATTTGTTTTAAAACAGTATTGGTCACGAGTTTGGACAGTGAAATTAGGATTAACATCACTCCACCAACGGCAATTTTGTGAGCTGACTACCCCATTAGAAGTGAACGTTGCCTCGTCCGAAAAAATTATGCACCGTGCCATATAATTATTATCTTCTAACTCCCCTTGGAACCAAGCACAAAATTCAAATCTTCTATTAAAATCTCCTGCTTTTAGGGTATGAGTGAACTGGGGTTTGTAAGATTTAAATTTGTTTGCTTTTAATATTCCTGCAACTACGTCTTTGCGCACACCAAGTAAAGCTGCCCTTTTTCTTATGGAATCTTTAGGATTTTCTATTGCTGAGAGCATTACTTGATTTTGAATTTCTTCAGTAGCAACCCATGCCTCATGTTTCTTTTTGAATTTATTCTCAACATTTCCGGAACACTTGAACTTTTTTATTATTTTACTTACTGTTGCAAAATGTACATTTTTATCAGGATGTCTGTTATTAAAGATTATGGCAGCTTTCCTATAAGTTTTGTAGTTATCTCCAACAATTAAAACAATTTCAATTTTCTCTTCAAGACTCAATTTCAACGGCATTTTTACTAGTATTTAAAAAAGTACAATTATTACAAACTGAGGTTTTGAAGCATACTGACATAAGATATGTTTCAAAACATTTCCACAGCAACTTGATTTTGTACAGGTCATTAATTTAGATACCTAGTTTTTGATCATTTTCGATCTTAAAGAAATTGTAAACAATAATAAAACCTGGTTTTTATCGTAGATAGCTGTAATTAGACATTTAAACGTAGTTTTCAATTCTAATCAACTTTTCTTAATAACAATTTTAGATATTGTCGAAAATAAAGATACTTTACTCTTGAGCAAAATTCATACTTTTTGACAAACCTCGTATACGATTGGAAAATTTCGATATCTGATTATCGTATATTGGGTTTTAGGCCTTGCAGAACTTTTTATGAAGAATGACGTTTTTTCCTAAACTTAATAATAAAAAAGTTTCCCATTTGTTGCCAACTTTTTCAGACACACTGTATCTATTTTGTCTTGGGCTGGCTTAAGACAACGCAAGTTCTTAAATGTATGCAAATACATTCTAAATACTTACTAAAATTACTGCAGTACCCCAACTTTACTGGTCTCTTGATGGTTCGACTTTTTTTCATCTTTGGTGGTGACGGAAGCTGGCTCTCGCTGCTCATGCTGCTGTCACTAGATGAAAGTTTTTTTTGAATAATTTTTCTTTTTGTTGCTATTGATTCCTCTTCAGTATTTAAATCGCTTGTTTCCTCTGCTAGCCGTGCCTTATTTCTGGCTTTTAAATAGTCATCTAAAAAATAAAATTAAAATTTGACAATGGTACAGATCTATTTTAATTTAGTATTTAATTTGTAATACTTTTGTGGATAAAAAAATATATACAGAGTGACCAAAATAAGTAATTTTTTTAAGAAAATACTCTTATTTATTATTCAATACAGAGAAAAATAATTACTTACCAAAAGTTGCTTTCCTAAATATTCTCACATTATGGCAAGGCCAACAAGTGTTTAACGGTTCATATTTTCTAATGGCATTTAATAATTTTTGTTGGGAAAACGTGGGCCAGTGACATGTTTCCCCTTGGATCCAAATAGATGGAACTGCTTCCACAGTTCCATCATCAATAAATTGGACCACAGTCCAAGTTTGTTCATTCATTTTGGCACACAATACAACCTGTAATTAAAAAAAAAGTGGACCCAAAAAGAGTAGATATGTTTTACAATGCAAGTAAGATAATTTGTCATGAAGACAATCCCAAAGTCTTGTTCTTGGCTTTTTGAAAAATGTATAAGGCTTGGTTAAATGAAACAAAGTTGTCTAATCTTGCATGGTCTAATAATATGTTGGAAGCAGGATAGGCAAAATAATATATTTTTTTTATATTAAAAAGTACAATTTTTCAATTTAATCCAGATTTTTTTTGAAAAATACAGCACAAAACTATTACAAGGATCACTCTGATATGAATGAGATTCACAACAAGTATTTGCTTTAAAAAGTTTCAAGCCCACATTTTTTGCAACACCATGTTTTATTGTTAACAGGTTCACTGTCCACAACGCGGCTACGCGGCTACCACGTTCGGGATATATTGGATAAATTTATTTTTTTGCAAAAAATTGTTGGGTGATTTTATAAGTGGGTGCCCTCAGTGCGTCCCTTGAGTTTTGTTTTTTTTACCAGTTATTAAATTCTATAAAAGTAGACCTATTTCCATCCAGATAGTAAAGTAAATTAAACTACATCTGTATTTTTAAGAACAGAAGTATGGTGGGCACCGCAGATGCACAAGCTTAGAGAGCTGGGCAGTGAAAGTGTTAAACAGGTATAAATTCAGCTTTATCAGTGTTAAACTAACAGTTTGAGAATTACGTGAATTGTGCGAAACATGGAACTACAGAGAGATCATTAGCGAGCTACGATCTTTTATGATTTTAAAGGTGGCCTGACCCAAAAACAAAGTGTCGACAGACTTTTCTTGGCATTTGGAGATGAAGCACCATCTCGGGCTACTGTATATAGATGGTTTGCGGAATTTTGGAGAGTTCGTAGTGGCCTTAAGGACGAAGAGCATGAAAGAAGACCATGCACAGCAGTAACTCCAGAAAACGTAGTCAGAAGATTGATCTTAGAAGACAATCGCTGCACTTACCAAATTATAGAGACAACCCTGGGCATAGGATCTGTGACCATTGATACCAACACAAACAATTTATAACTTTAAAATCATAAAAGATTATAGTTCTGTGATGCTCTCTGTAGTTCCATGTTCCGCACAATTCACTTGTCTGAATCTGTAACGTGTGGAGGGTGGGTTAACCCTCACTTCACTTAGGCCTCTCAAGGCCCATTGGCACAATTCACTTAATTCTTAAACTGTTAGTTTAAAATTGATAATGCTGAATTTATACATGTTTAACAATAAAACATGGTTATGCAAAAAATGTAGACTAGAAACTTTTTAAAGCAAATACTTGTAAATATTATGCATATCAGAGTGACCCTCTTATAAATACTTCCTAAAAAGCTGCAATTTTAAATGACAAAAGTTACATAAAAAGTTCCTGCCACCTCTTATCTAAAAACTAAAATTACCTACTGAGTATGTAATAATGGAAATATGACAATATTAGAATTATGTTCTATTTGGACACATTTGCAATCCACTTTGTCTAAATCAAAAATTTCAAGTGGACTCACACTATCAACCTGCACCATACAAATTCCAAAATCTGTTGATTCACATGGATTTTGATATAAACTATTGTATTTAAGACCAACAATTTTGTATTTATCTATTAATACTATATCTTTTACTAATATTATATTTCCGTTACTTAAACGGCAACAGTTATCTGGAAAAACTGTCTTAAGAATATAGTTTTTAAAAACAATGCTTTTAAACTGTCTGGAAATATTTATATTATTTATTAAAGGTATGTTAAAATGTTCATCTTTAGGCATAGGATATTTTTTGAGATCTTCCTTATTAATGATATTAAATTTTGTCTGCTCTGTATGCCTTTTAATTATTTGCTGTAAAGGTTTGTCACTCTTTCGAATTGATTTTAAAATGCTTTGTAAAAAATTTTCAAACGGGAATGCACTAAAATTATCTACTGGACCATGATTTTTGACATCTTCTGTAAGATGTAACAAGTTGTGAACATTATGAGATATATTTTCTGAACCATACAAAGTCTTAAATGTTACCACAAAATACTTTAACAGTTATGATGCATACTGAATATGAATAAAATATCTCTCACTTGACAAAATTATTAAGGCAATATGAAGGGAAAGAAAATTTAAATATCTGTCACCACTTAAATTATTTTTAAGTACTAATGGTCCAGTGTAAAATAAAAATTGTCTAAACTCTGTGGCCTTCCACCTTTTTATCTCGTTTAAGCTTCTAGGCTTCCTGTTAAATTCACATGGTATTGATACGGCCATCTTAACAAGTGAATCAGATATATTTGAAATTTTTTGAAATTAAATTTTTGTTGCTGGTTTCCCGCAACACCAAAGAAGTAGAAGCTTTTTTACTACTCCTAAACATACTAAATGCATATAGTCGAGAGGGAAACTGTTAATCATATTAATGTGGGGTATAAGTAGATAATCTATGCCATTACTAGCTCAGATAAGAGAGAGATAAGGAAGATAAGAGAGATAAGGATCCCACGTGTCAAGGTCAAGGTCAAGGTAGTCAAGGTTACGCACGACCCGGCTGCCCCACCCGCACGGATGACAAGGTCAATGTCACGCACGTCCCAGATGTCCGTACACACGCGGACAAGTTCACACACCAACAACGCACGACCCACACTCACAAGGGCCCGATTCATGCACTTCCCACGCACCAAACACTTGGGTCCGTTTCACGCACACGACCCACCCACGCGTACAAGATCATGCACCAACCACACACAACCTACATGACCCACCCACACAAAGCCTTATTTCACGCACCAAGGTTTTTAGTATAAAAAAATAAATAAAAATAAGTTTAGGGGGGTGGGTTGGCTCAGTGGTTAGAGTCATGACTTTGAGATCGGAAGGTCTCAGGTTCGAATCCCACCGTTGGCCGGGATTTTTTCATTTAATTTAATTATTTAAAATTAATTCTGATGCCTTGGTAGGATTCCCCACTCGACCATTCACTGTTGGGTTCTAATTAACAGTGCTGTTCCTAAAGTGGCGCTGGGAAACAGTAACAAAGCCTACACAGAACACGAGGCTAATGGCCGTAGTAGTCGACGCCGATGACACCAAATTAAAAAAAAAAAAAAAAAAAAAAAAAAAATAAGTTTAAAATGATTTTATTTAAAACCACAATTTATGTATATTACATTTATATCATTGAGTATTTTATGTTGTTCATTAATTGATTCTTCCAAACTTCTTTTTATTGATTCTAGTTCCATCTCCTTCTGTTTTTTCTGGTGTTCTTTTTCTTCACATTCCTTGGTAATATTTGTTAGTTTTTCAGTTATTAAACACATGGCCTGATAATTTTCATAATAAAAGTTGTATTTGAAATTTAAGTGCTTACTTAATTTTTCTATTGTTTTATGAGAAATTGAATTAGTTAGCTGTGGTTGTTGAGACTCCATTGTTTCTGTTATTAACATAGATTGTTGTGAATTCGTTTGTTCCGAAAATGATATAGATGGAATCATTTCAGTTTCAGTTAATAGGTCTAATATTTCATCATTCGTTAAGTCTAATGTAACATCAGACATCTAAAAACAAAAAGAAATTAACATATAATTAATTTTATAGAGAGATATTATCTTATACTATTTAAGCGACATAACTTATATCAATAAAACAAAAAATTGTTATACTTACGTTTTGACATGAAGAACTAGCAACCATTTTATCATAATCATTATCTACTATGGGTTTTAAGATATTTTTCTTTTGTCTTGGTTTTTTTATTAAAACATTTGATTCTATTTTTATTTTCTTACCCATTGCAATAAAAAAATGAAACTAACTCCTGTGGATATAATTTTTCTTTTATATCAATTAGTGTAGGAAATGACAAGTTTAATTTTAGAAATCTATTTTAAGAAATCTATTTTTAAAAATCCATTTTAAGAAATCTATTTTTGAAATCTATTTTTAGAAATATATTTTAAGAAATCTATTTTAAGAAATCTATTTTAAGAAATCTATTTCAAGAAATCAATTTAAAAAAAATCTATTTTTAGTAAAAATCAATGTTTATGTAAATGTTTAATATAAGAAAGAAAATTTCCAAGGTCAAGAACAACCCCCCACCACCTTAAATATGAGGAAAGATTAAAGGGAGGGAATTTTTATAAATATATAAATATATTCAGAGTCTTTAGAATTTCATTTCAAAAAGTATTGCAACAAAAAAAAATGTGTTATCCACCAATTGTCACAGATTTAAAAAGTGCAATAAAAAAGTTAGTGTATGAGTTTAATAGACAAGGATATAGATGGGTACGAGAATCAAAATATCAAAACTATTCTCAAACATTTTGTAAAGAACAATGTGAAGTTTATGAAAAAGTTCTACAATTAACCGTAAAGCTACAAAATAATGGATGCTTAGAATGTTGGTGTGGTAAGATGGCTGAATTTAGTTATTTACGGGAACTTGATGATATAATAGACTTTTTACCAACATATTTACGAGAGAAGCTAATGAACCTGCCTAACAATTCAACGGAAAATGATGAAACATATTCACAGAGTGAAAATGGTCAGGTTTGGAATGAAACTTTAAACCCAGTAGAAGTATTTGAGATGGAAGAATTTGAAGATGTTCCAGATATATTAGATTGGAATACAACTATTAAATTTATTATAATATATTTAATCAAATAATAAACATTTATTAGATATTTATTAGTTTTATTTTTATGAAAGTGGAGGGGTTATTTAAATAAAATAAAGTATTACTTACAATTATGATTTTTTTATTCTTAAACATGTCTTTACAAGATTATAAACAAAAACTTGAAGAGTTAAGAAAAAATATGAAAAAATTTGATAAACGACAATTAATGAATAAAACTTTCAATTTTGTTACTATAACTAAGAAAAGGATTAGACCTACCAGAATAATGAAATAGTTGTTTATAAATTATGTTGTCAATAAATTATGTTACCAATAAATTATGTAAATAAAAAAATATTTTAATTTTGCATCGTATATTTATTATATAAAAAATATACATTAGATAAAGCACAAATACATTTATTATTTTTATGATAAAAACATAAAAGTTCAAAAGCAGGTTGTTCATCAATCTCATATACAGGAACAGTTGAAAATTTCCTAATATAGTTTGCTTTTTCCATTCCTTTAACGTAGATACAGTCAATATCTATAATAAGTTTTTGAAATATACTTCCAAAATGATGCAGTGGAGTATATCCATTATTCCAATCAATAGCATGATGGTTATTCATTAACCAAGTAGCTTGCTTGTGTAAATCAGAAGGCAACATCCTCATAGGAAAGGGTGGCTTGAATACATAGTGACATACTTGTGAACCATTAAAAGCAGCAAATTCTTTAACTATAAACTTATTGTTTTCTATTTTAAAACCTTGAACATCTACTATCAACTTCATATTTTCAAATTATATAGTTGCTCTTCAACTTGTCTTCTTTTTCTATAATATTCGATATCCGCTTTTAGTTTTGATATATTTTGCAGATATTGTTGTAACCTCTGTTTATACTCATGTAGCATCATTAACTAATATTGAAATAAGAAAAAACTTTAATATAAATTAAAATTAAAAGAACTTGCGCAATTACTTCTGTCGTACTATTTTTGTTAGAGGATTATAAAAAAATTCTTTTTCATGTAAAATTAGACAGAAAGCTGACACATCATTTCCTGTAGGCTTACTAGTTTCAAATTCAATTCTAAGAGAAACGGAACCACTTTGAATTACTTCTTTTTGACGAGAACAGTCAATATGAACTATCGGACATTTTGTTTTAAATTCTTCGGGGTTGAATATAGGTTGGTTTGTTTGAATATGATAGTAAGATTCTTGAAAGCTAGCAAACATTTCATACAAAGTTGCAAAACGGTTAGTATCAAAATCTAAATTTAAATCGTGATAGGGAAAACGATCGGAATTTAAGAAAACCCTAATATTTGATAGATTACAATGATCAAATTTACTCATATCTTTTAAAAGTTGACCTTTTCGATCTTTTTGAAATGCTATTATAATATGTCTAGGTGTTTCTAATTTTGTTGAAGTTTTTACTGCCCACGTATGACGTGTGGAATCATTTAAAGTAGGATACTCAATTAGATCCCAACTTCTAAACTTAATAGGTAATTCAATATTTTTACTAATTATATTATTCAAGCGTAGTTGTTCTTCGATATTAACTGTAATTTGGGGTACATTCCAAAACAATTTAGTTATCTGAATTTTTGTTTTTTCTGTTTCATCTTTTGCAAGAACTGCATCAATATCATCACTAGCTCTAATTAAAATTAAATCTTGTTTCATATTTAATATTATTTTTCTAAAATCTTCAAAAAATCCGGAAAACATTTTTAAAGGTATATTTACATTAAAATTTCCATTTTTATCTAATAAAATTTTTTGTTCGCCTTTTGGAAACCAACCAGCGTTTTGCAATAATTTACTTTCATTATCATTTATTGATAAGTAATTTTTCAAGCTAGAAACTAAACCAACTTGTCTTACAGAATCAATTGTTACACCATTTAATACATATCTAATTTCTTTAAACATATAAGCGATACTATTATTAATAAATTCAAATTTAGTAGGTACTTTTTTCTGATCTGTTAACATTTTACCTTCCATATAAATATAGCTATTACAAGGTAGAGTATAAGCATCAAGTTCTTCTATAGTTATTCTAATTTCATCATTATAATTTGGAATAGCTGATGTATTTGACTGATAAATATGAAATTGATAATCTTCAATTGTAGTATCACTAAAAGGTTCTCCTGTAACATTTAACATTTCCATTATACTAAAACTTTAAATCCTATAGATTTCAAAAAAAGTCGATTTTTAGATGTTATCAACGGAATGGTTGATTTATTACTAATTTTTTTTCTATAACAACGCCTTTTATACTGTGGTCTTTTATTTAGATATTCTACTTGATTAAATAATAAAACCATAATTATTCAACTTTTTTAAGATGTAACCGAACAGTTATCGTCTCTTTACGAAAATCTATCAATTCACCAGTTTGATCAATAATCTTAATAGTAATGCTGTTTATGGTTTTAACACTAACAGGATAATACAGTAATGTTACAGGTTGCTCCACTATTTTATATCCATTTGGAACTTGCGGGAAAAATTCGTGAATTATATGAACTGGATTACCATTTAAAAAGGATCCAACAGCAATATTACAATCAACACATATTGTATTAACTTTTAAAATATTTATTTTATTTGAAGTATGACTTATA